ATTGCTTATTGTGGGAAAACAAAAAATAAAATATATCTGTCTATATTTGAATGTTGTTCTCTATGCTCCAGAAGGAGCTGTGTTTAAATAGCTTAAAATGCATATTTGAAAGACTAATTAAGCCAGTAACTGTGGGAGGGGTTGTTGCGTAAATCAGCTTACTCTCCCATTTGAGTCGGATGTCTGGAAAATCTGTTGCTCCATCCATTTCTAAGCTTTGTCTTTAACAGACCTGAACATCTTCATTCTTTTTCACATATCTACCTGTTTCTATTGTCTATAAAATGTAATAACCACATTTTTCTAAAGTTCCGTCTTTCACTCGTTGTTTTCCACCCATAGACCCGGACTATAATATTAGTAAAGAGTAAAGAAATATTGTTTGTGGCATGGTAACACAAGTTAATTAAAAAGTTAAACTGTATTGTCTACATAAGTTCTTGTGTTCTGAATTTTATCACATGACAGGAGGCTTCGTATTTTGCATAATCTTTCTTTACTATCTCCATAGCAGCAAAGAAATGAGTGACAAAACTTTTAACCAATCACAACGTAGAATAGGGTATAAGAGGTGAGACCTATGACATCATTTCCTCTTTCTTTGCTGCTCCATCACAAGTTAAGTACCAAATTTTGTATTATCTATTCTACATACACTTTTCATTTACATGCCTTTTTGTTTTCACTGTACCTTTATATATTTACCCTATTAATGCTCTTAACCCCTGTATACCAGGGGACCCTGTCTGGCTCCCTAACTGTCTTTCACGGCTTTCCCGCCGTCTGTACTTTCCCTCCATTTTCTCTGTTTCTCTTTAACAGTTTTTCTGTTCTTTTTACCGAACGCGTTATTCGGTAGTTTTGCGCATTCGCCTGTTTTACTCGAATGCCCGCGCGACCGCACATTGACTATTCGTTTCTAACTACCGAACGCTTCGTTCGGCAGTTTGACGCGATCGCCTTTTTAAACGTTCGCACGTTCGGCAGTTCGCATAGATCTTCTATTCACACGTTCGGCAGTTCGCATAGATCTTCTATTCACGTTCGGCAGTTTTATGCGAATGGCAAGCTTACAGTTTGCCGCCCAAACTGGGGGAGGTACTATTCTCCACACACTGAGCCTGTCAGTCCGGCGGCCATCTTAAAGAGATAGACACTGCCTGATTTTTCTGCTCCTGCTATTCCAACAAGCAATTGAAAAGCCTTACCCTTTTTCACTCAGTGGGACCAGGTTAGTGCCTTACACTTGGGGTTGGTTTAGCCAGTTGGTCTGCACCTTATTCTGGCCGGGGTGAGCCCCCATTTTATGCTGCTAAATGGTCCTGTTTATGCAGGTTCCGATCACCTGGGTGAGCCCCAGTGAATCAGCCCTCTCCTCTACGACCTACCGGTCTCTAACCACAGGTTATTTAGTCCTGATACCATACCACCCCGGTCCCAGGCCTCTCCATTAATCGTGCCTAGTGCCCTCACGCAATTTACCGGGTGAGCTCCGAATCCTCACTCCTCATAATGGAGGAATCACAAACCCCAGACCTCCAGGCCATGATAACAGCAGCCGTGGCTGCAGCCATGGAACAAGCCGCTTCCAAGTCGCTCCAAACAAACCCTGAGGTTCCCAGGCCCACCTCTAAACGGGTTCATTACAAGGCGGACTCCGAAGACTCTGACTCTTCCAGGGAACACTCCCAACGGCGAAAACGCCATTGGAAGGGCAATGTAACCCCACGCAAGGCTAAAGGGAAAGCCCCTGCTGATCGCAGGAAAGCCACGGTTCGTGCTACCCACGATGCCACCAACTTTCCTCAGGTGAGGAAGATGTAGAACCCACTCAGGCACTGGCTGTGCTGGATGAATGGCAGGCGGCAGCCTCTGACCAGGGGGACTCCGACAGGGATTCCACGGCCAACTCTGACCCTTACTTCATAAGGGAACAGGGTCTGGGTGAGCCCCAGGACTCCATGGCAACATCCATTGATAACCCACAGGAGGGCTCGGAGATTTTCCTCGACAATTCGGGCCTCCAAATGTTCGACCCAAGAAACATCCGGCACCCCCGTTCGGAAGAATGGTCACCACCTGAGCATTTGGCAAGGTTTATGCACTTCTGGCTCAGAAAACCGCTAGACAAGGAAGTAAGAAACCGGATGAGATCCGAATGCCCTCGCCCTAGTCTACCAGACAAAGTAACGCACACCCCCGAGTTTGACCCGCTCATGACTACGTTCATGTCCCGAGGGGGTCGGGATCCGCGCAAGGGCATAGAGCGCGGCTTTAAAGGAGCGCAAGATAAGCTGCTAGATGCCATTGGGCCACTAGCCAGAATCATGGATATGGCGGATGAAGCCTATGAGAGGGCTGACACTTTTACCCCAGATACGGTGCGTGAATGGGCACGAGATACCCGTGAATGGGCACAAAGGTGTTTCTGTTTCTTAGGGAACACCAACGTAGCCCTCTCTTCGGAGAGGCGCCGAGCAGCACTTTACCGTATCGACGAAAAACTGGTCGAACTGGGGGATAAGGAATTAGGACCCTTAGCACAGGATAAATTATTTGGAGAGGCCTTCCTTAAGGAATTAAATAAAAGGGTCAACATATTCACGTCCCTTAACAAGGCACAATCTTCAATGCGGAAAGTCTTCCACGGTTCCCACACCCGTGGTGTTTTTGGAAGGGCTGGACGGCAGAGGGGCCGTGCCGCCAGCCGTTTTTGGCCATCCGGCCCCCGTACAACAAGGACTCAGATGTTCTACCCAGACTCATCTAGTCGAAATAGATTCGGCCACTTCAGGGGATCTGATCGTGGCCGAGGCACCCGAGGACGCTCACGAGCAAGATTCTCCAACGGTAAGTCGGAATCTTACTCTTCCTCTAACCCCCTGTCATATCGCAGGTCGTGTTTCTCTTTTTTTCCAGAACTGGAAAGAACTATCTTCAGATGCGTGGATAATCCAAACGGTGCAGGGCTATCGAATAGAGTTCGACTCGACCCCGCTCCAGCTGACCCCTCCACGTCCAATCCAGACTACACGAGCAGATGCCCGCCTCATAGACGCGGAACTCCGAGAACTCCGCTCCAAGGGTGCCATTCAACCGGCTCCGGATGCCACCGGTTTCTACAGCAATATCTTCCTGGTCAGGAAGAAAACAGGCGAATTTCGCCCCGTTATCAATCTCAGGGAGCTCAATTCGCACGTAGTATATCGACACTTCAAAATGGAAGGTATACATCTTCTCCGGGACTTGCTTCGACGCGACGACTGGTTCACTCGTCTGGACCTCAAAGATGCGTACCTTACCATTCCGGTACACAGAAGCAGCCGTCCCTACCTCCGCTTCTTCTGGCACGGGATCCCTTGGCAGTTCACCTGTCTCCCGTTTGGCCTCAGCTCGGCCCCGTGGTGTTTTACCAAGATTATGAAGCCGGTAGTGGCAAAAATCAGATCCCAAGGTATAAGATGCATCATCTACCTCGACGATATCCTGATCTTCGACGAGGATGCAGACACTCTGCGGAGACATACGGCATACGCACTACACCTTTTGGACTCTCTGGGTTTCGTCGTCAACCGTCCCAAGTCCGCATTGACCCCGGCTCAATCAGTTCAATTCCTCGGATTCGTAATAGACTCCACATCATGCACTCTTCACCTCCCGGCTACCAAAATTATGGCAATCCGCAGGGACATCCGGAAAGTCCTTCGTCGGACTACCATACCCCTACGATTACTGGCACGGATCGTAGGCCTTCTCTCTGCGTCCATCCAGGCCATTTTTCCCGGGCCCCTGCACTACAGGGCCATGCAACGCCTCAAGGCAAGTTTCCTTCGCAGACAACCGACATACGACCAACCGGTTCCAATGTCGGTCGAAGTTCGGGAAGAACTACACTGGTGGCTGAATTGCATGCAGACATCAACCGCCTTGGAGGCACTCGTTCTCGAACACTGGCGGATCTCACGAAAGATCTTCGACTACTGCCTACCACGCAACATCACCTTGCTGGCAGAGCACTTACCAGGAGACTCCAATACGACGGCGGATTGGTACTCACGCCACTGGCGGGACGCCAGCGATTGGCAGCTAGACCCTCACATTTTCGCACTACTGGATGCACAGAGGGGACCTCTCTACCTAGACCTTTTCGCGTCCCGCAACAATCGACAGACAGAAGTTTTCTTCAGCTGGCTCCCAGACCCGGAGAGCCTCGCAACGGACGCTTTTCTCCAACAATGGCCAAGGGACGGCGCCTACGCATTCCCTCCTTTCGCAATGATAACGAGGGTCCTTCACCGGATCCGTCTACAGGGAGTGAGAATAATTCTCATCACGCCGCTCTGGCAGAGCCAGCCATGGTTTCCGGACCTTCTGGAACTCTCAATCAACGACCCCCTCCTCCTACCAGATGCCCCAACCATCCTCAGGAATCCATTGGGCCTTCCTCACCCACTAGTCCTGCAGGAACGCTTGCCCCTTGTGGCCTGGACTCTTTCCGGGGTTCCTGGAGAACCGAAGAATTATCGCAGGAAACTAAGGACCTGCTATGGGATTCATGGGCACCAGGAACTAGGAGGTGCTACTTATCAGCATGGCACTCCTGGACAAGTTGGTGTGTGGGACGGGACCTCAATCCCTTTACTGCACCTACTCACTCCATCATGAATTTCTTAACTTCACTTTTCACCGCAGGAAAGTCATACCGTTCCATCAATGTGGTACGGTCAGCCATCTCAGCGGCTCATACTCCGATACAGGGGATTCCTGTTGGTAAGGACCCGCTCATCTGCAGACTTCTCCGCGGTATGCGCCTACGGCGCCCCCCGGAACCTAAATATTCTAGTCTCTGGGACGTTGGCGTGGTCCTTCAATTTTTACGTAATTGGCTTCCCAACGAGAAACTATCACTCCGCCAGCTTACCGCAAAATTCACCCTCCTGCTCTGTCTGGTTTCCTTTCGACGGGTAGCGGACGTACGCGCCTTTGACGCCAGCGCGTTTACTTTCTGTCCGGCGGGTGTCACCTTTCAGATCTCACGTCGCACTAAGTCCAACTCTCTCTCGGTCTTCTACCCTTTCTTCCCTTCTGACCCTCAACTCTGCGTGGTCTCAACCCTCCGTCACTACGTGGAAGCCACCGTGACGTTGCGGCAACCTTCCACTCATCAACTTCTCATCTCTTACGTCCGCCCTTATGGTCCGGTCTCGGTTACTACACTGGCCAGATGGGTTAGGTGGCTACTATCCCTTGCCGGTATTGACCAAACTTTTGGAGCACACTCCGTTCGTGGGGCAGCGGCCTCTTATGCGGCAGGCGCGTCCCTCTCGGACATTTTACGAGCAGCGGACTGGACCAGAGAATCTACCTTTAGGACATTCTACTTTCGTCCTCTTGATAATCCGGCATTTGCTTTTCTTTCTCAGCGTTGAAATTGCAAAATACGAAGCCTCCTGTCATGTGATAAAATTGAAGATTATGCTAGCTTTAGTGTACAGATAATCTTAATTTTAATAATGACAGGAGGCGAGTATTTTGCCTCCCTGTTCTCTTTCGTTCTTCCCTCCCTTTTATTTTCACTTCTACCTACTACACTTTGCTCTCTCATATGTTGGTATAATACCTGACACGATAGCTCTTGTTTAACTGCCTTATTTACATCTTAGAGATATATATATATATTGTTTGGGTGGGATACTTATTTAACACCGCTAGGGAGGACGTTTAGTTTATTTTATTCTCATGTTACTAGACGATATTAAACTTGAATTACAGGACAGACATCCTTTGTTTTTATACAATCACTTCTGGACTCTAACGCACCTTATACTCTCGTTTCAGCTTAACCAGGAGCTACACGGAATCATTAAAGTCTCCATGCAAGATGTCGTCATCATCGCATCAGGAGATTCATCATCAGGTCTTCGTAGACCATCGTTTGACAAGGACACGTCTTCATCTGCATTCTACCTGTTCCGGTTCAGTTTATTCTGATTAAGTTTCCAGTTTCTTGTTCTATGGACTTCTCAGCTGTTCGGTTATTTTTTTCTCCTTTTATGGTCTTGTGATGTCGCAAGTTTAAAAGAGGAAATGATGTCATAGGTCTCACCTCTTATACCCTATTCTACGTTGTGATTGGTTAAAAGTTTTGTCACTCATTTCTTTGCTGCTATGGAGATAGTAAAGAAAGATTATGCAAAATACTCGCCTCCTGTCATTATTAAAATTAAGATTATCTGTACACTAAAGCTAGCATAATCTTCAATTTATACCGACAATTATTATAATTAGCCACTAGAGGGAGACATAACATTATTTTCTGGTTTAGGAACATTATATAACGTCAAGGATCCCATGGTCCCTTTGTTTATTTCAGTTGCCCAGAATGAACCCTCTTCTGGAACACTTTGGATGGTATTCAATAAACATTAAATTGTACTGGATTGCAAACCAAATTGATAAATTTAGGTAAAATAGCTGACTTAGAGTTAACATTTATAGCTTTGCTATATTCACAGCTTGGCTCCCGAAATGTTGCAATTCAATTTTTATTTCACTACAAATAAGGGTTTAGTAAATCACTCCAGAGTGTGTTTCATGTCACATATACCCCAGCAAAGCAGCTTCTATGAACTTGCTGATCAGCCTCATTCATGCTTTTTAAGCTTGCACTACTGTTTAAGTTCTCTCATAGAAAGATATGATAGAATTTGTAAAAAAATAATTAATTAATATCCTTTTCCAATATTCAGACTGATATCATGATTAATATTTGCAAAGTCTAGCCATTGGTGAATGAAAATTCAGCCCATCAAGTAGAAGTTCCCCAGCCCTAAAATAAACCAACACAATAGGGGCTCCCTCCAAGCCCTACTAACAAGGATAGTACAAAAGACAAGACAAGAAAAGGTTGCGCCAAAACAGACTATAGTAAATATCATAGTAAACCAAAAAAGTCCAAAGTACAATGGTAAATCCGAAAATAAACCTTAAAAAAGAGAGATACCAAAACAGAGTCCTTAATTATTAAGGTTTATTTTCGGATTTACCATTGTACTTTGGACTTTTTTTGCTTACTATCATATTTACTATAGTCTGTTTTGGCACAACCTTTTCTTGTCTTGTCTTTTGTACTCGACTTATTTCGGCTGAAATTTTTATTGAATTTTGACTGGATGTAATGCCAGCTGAAACCAGATAAATGTGCTTTGAGTGCCGGGTTAGGCACTAATGAATACATTTAATTAAAAATGTTAAAAACCTACGGTGGGTCAGTATGATCCCAATATTAGTGTAAGGGAGGTGTTAAACCTCTACCATCCCCCCACCTGCCATACTGTATGGGGGAATGTCAGCTAATCAGCAAACAGCCAGTGGCCGCTCGCTGTAATAAAAAACTAGCAACTGACTGCCCAGCTCCTTTTAACATATAGGGAGGATCAGGCTTAAATAACAGGGGGCAGACAGATTACTGAGAGCCTCTGCAGCACCAGCGGACCACCAGGTGTCACAGAACTGTCTGTATATGGATTACATTTATTTTCCCTCCATTCGTCTGTTTGTTCGGTTTATTTCCCTGCCTGTCCAGTCCCTATGTGTTTCCCTGTTAAACTGCCGAAAGCCGCATGAAGGCGCGACCACCGGGAAGCTAGCGTGTGCCCTCAATTGACCACCCAGTAGCTGCAGTTAACCGCAGCTTAATTGACTGTACTGGGTGGTCGCGGTTACACATAGCCGCCACCCGGTGGCGGTGTTATGGAGCTCAGCAGTGCTCAGCCCAGTATCAGTGCACTAAAAGCGGATACTTTTACGTGCAGGCAGCCTTCCCTGCTTCTATCTCGGTTGTTTAAACGAAAGCTGGATTGATCGGGAGTTTACTTAAGGGAATGTTTTAACCCAGATAGCTATACCATGGAGCCTATTTGTGTAATTAAAGACTTTGGCTCCATGGCAATTGAACTGCATGTGTGTGATCTGAGCGCTATTCGGTGGTTATGTGCGCTCAGATCTAAGCTATCTGGGGATATGTGACATGTATGGGGTTGGTGTAGTAAATGTAATATTATATGTTTTAATGTATTTTACGGTCTCTGTGTCCCCACGTGTATAATGGCGATTTGCCTCTGTCCTGGGAGATAATTTGATTACTTCCCAATTATCTCCAGGATAGAGGGAGGGAAATTAGGATGCATTGTGGGGATGTTTTACTTCTGTGTGTTCGAATGTGATACATGTCTGTCTGTGTTGCAGTCTTCCATCTGGTCCCCTAGGGGAGTGTCCACCAGGTGGAATACCTGCATAAATACCGGGCAGGTAGCCCTCAATAAACCAGAATCTAGTTTTACCCTCAATACAGAGCTTGGTCTCGTGATTGAGGGGATTTACTGTACGCGGTTAGAGACTGATTGCTGGGAATGTAAGCCGCTTGGATGCTGTGTGTGTTCATCTGTTAGCAGCTATTCGTGAGATTACCGTTCGGGTGTTTGGAGTACTACTGGGTATACTGTTTGGTAGTTTGGAGCCTTCCCTGGTTCCAGTTCGGGACTTGGGGTTCTACAGTAGCTGTACCTGTACCTCCACAAAAAGGGAAACTCTACTAAATGTCGGTTTAACCCCTTTATTCCGGGAGAGCCGAAACACCAGGTAATATGCTGCCCCTTCCCTGGATGCTGGTAGGAGACAGGGAGGGGCGATAAACTAAAAAAAATTTTTGAAAATGACAATAACAAAATAAATATAAAAAGAAAATTATTCTTCCTTCTCAGCCCCTGCAAAACTCAGCCTCTATCCTACCCACCAAACACTCTCTCTCACACACACAATGCATCCCTTACACACACAAAAGGACACAATGCGTCCTTTACACACACACACAGAAACACACAATGCATCCCGTTACACACACAGAAACAGACACTACTTACTTTACAGTAGTGGGGAGAGGATGACCAGGGTGACCAGACATCCCAGTTTTACAGGCATTGTCCCGGTTTTCGGCGAAATGTCCCAGTTTTTGCTGCCCTGTTATCTACCTTCTTGGGCCTCACTGGCCCCAAGGCAGTTTGCCTCAACAGAGGAAGGCAGGGAGCTAGGACCTTGGAGGCAGAACATTCCTCCCACGAGCATGGGAACACTCCAACACAACCCTGTACTCGCGGGAGGAGAGAGTAGTCAGCCTGCAGCCAGAGGAGCTGCAGGCTGAACTGCATGCACCACCACTGGGCTATCAGGGCTTAAATGTCCACTCCACCTCCTCCCTAGCCAAAGTTAAGAAGAAGAGGGAGAGGCGGGGTAATATAATGCTTTATTTATTTTATTTATTTAAATATAAATTTGTTCCCTTATCACCCCACACAGCACCCTCCACACACCTCACCCCTTTCCACACACACAGCACCCTTCCCACAGACACAGCACCCCCTCCACATACACACTGCTCCCCCACACACACTGAACCCCTACACACTACAACCCCCCACACACAGCACCCCCCACACACTGAGCTGCTACACACACATACAAAATGCACCCCCGCACCCACACTGAACCCCTTCACACACTGAAGAACTCCACACACACTGCATACACATACACACTGAACCCATACACACACTCGCTGCACCCCATACACACACACTGCACCCCTTAGTGCAGTCTATGTGTGTGTATATTCAGCAGTCTGTGTGTGTGTTTAGCAGTCTGTGAGTGTGTATATTCAGCAATCTGTGTGTGTTTGTGTGTGTGTTTATTCAGCTGTGTGTGTATTCTGCATTCTGTGTGTGTATTCTGCATTCTGTGTGTGTATTCTGCATTCTGTGTGTGTATTCAGCAGTCTGTGTTTGTGTCTTCAGCAGTCTGTGTGAGTGTGTTCAGCAGTCTTTGTGTGTGTATTTAGCAGTATGTGTGTGTATTCATCAGTATGTGTGTATGTATTCATCAGTCTGTGTGCGTGTTCAGCAGTCTGTGTGTATGTATTCATCAGTCTGTGTGCGTGTTCAGCAGTCTGTGTGCATATTTAGCAGCCTGTGTGCGTTTATTCATCAGCCTGTTTGCGTATATGCAGCAGTCTCTGTATGTGTGTATTCAGCAGTCAGTGTGTATGTTTTTAGCAGTCTGTGAGTATTCAGCAGTCTGTGTGTGTGTTTTTTCAGCAGTCTGTGTGTGTGTTTTTTCAGCAGTCTGTCTGTGTACTCAGCAGTCTGTCTGTGTATGTATGTATTGTATTTGTTGAAGGTACTAATAAATATAAGGTTAATTTATTGATGATTATAACGGCACCCCCAGACAAAAAAGTGGTTAAACCACCGTTTA